TGATAGATCCCCAGGATCTTCCTGTCCGTTTTTCCAAGATCGAAAGGAGCACGTTGCACCAGAGTGTACGTTACACCGAGAAATCGGAATCGAACCGAGTGAAACTTCTTCGTGGTACTCGAGCATCGACTATTCTTACCACATTCGATGACTAGAGATAGGCGTTAAGTGTGACGCACACGTGGCCACTCGTAGCAAGTCTACGTGATAGTGTTCATGCGTGATGATAGGAAGAAGAAGAGGAGAAAGATGGAGAAGAAGAAGAAGGGATAGGTAACCTGGGTGGCGGGTACACATAGTCAACGACACGGATGTTACACGAACTTACGAGGAAACTTACTCGCGTTGCCGTTACACGACGCCATTGCGTTACATAAATATGCGAGAAGCGTACTGCTTCCTTTTCTTAACAATACGTTTCGTAATTGTTTATCACCTGTCACGTTCATTGTCGTGCGTTGATAAACATTTGAAGTAAACCTGGCATTAATTAGTCTTTAGGGAAGTTTGTGGAGGTATTTTTTAAGTGTACACTTATTGCTGACTAAATTTTGTATGTTTTCTAAATCCCTTTTAAATATTTATATGATTGTACATGCTGATAAATGTTAAATAAATAAACATTATTAAATATTTTATGAATATTTATTATGTCAAGATGCATCGTTTCTAAGTACTTCGTAAATATTTATAAAATAAATACATGTTATTAAATGTTAAATAAATATGTATCACTCACTAGTTAAATTTATCAAACTTAAAACAGCTTAATTAACATGTAGCATAATATAAATTACAATTAACTATTTTCAATATCAATGAAGCATGTAATATGTAACATGTAACATGTCATACATATAAACATACAATTTTATAAATAAAATTAATAAATCTTCAAATAGCAAAAATATAAATGTCCTTAAAAAACAACCACAAACAAATATATAATTTTATTAAAATTCCCTTAAATAATTTTACTCATAATTCACTTGAAGTGCCTTTCGTAACTCGTGTATTCCATCTGCAACTTTAGTAACTCTTCATTAAAAATAATTAAACAGGTGTACATTCCAAAAATCGATAAAAGCGAATGGTTCAATATATCCTATCCCAAAAATCGATAAGACGAACGGTGCAAATGTTGCTCAGTACCGAAGAAAATGTCCCATAAATATGTAGAGCCTAACAGCTGTCTAACAAAGTCCTCAAAGTAGGCACCTGACGAATAGATTTAGTGAGCGCGCGAACGGGAAAAGTAAAAAGAAATAGTTGTGAGCCAGAACACGTAGACAAAATTCGAAGGGACAGAACACGTTCGAATTCACGTGTAGCTACATCTTGGTTCCCGGTTATTACGTTGAGGAAGTCACGCGGCCCTCGAGGCCCCGAGGCCCCAAAAAAAATGAGGACATTCCGTGGAGTGTGGCGGCCCCTGTACACCAAAACGAGGTTCCGGATTTCGGTATACAAGATGGAGGGGCAGAAATTTGGGCACAACCGATACACGAAACGAAACCGACGGCATCCCAATTTATTAAAGTGTAACTAGGTAAAGGATCGGTGATGTGCTATAACCTAGTCAAGATCTAGTTAGCCCTAATACATGAGATTCCACATTTTAGTATATGAAGGAGCAGTAATTTTGGCACAATTGAATAATACATGAAATGAAACCAACACTATTTTAATTTACTAAAGTATAACTAGATAAAGGATCGTTACTCTGGTATAACCTAGTCAGACTCTAGTTAGACCTAATACACGAGGTTCCACATTTTAGTATACATATAGGAGAAGCAGAAATTTGGACACAATTGAATAATACATGAAATGAAACCAACGCCATTTTAATTTACCAAAGTATAACTAAAGCATCCTTACCGTGTTCTAACCTAGTCAAGATACTGTTTAAACCTTAATACCTAACTACACTAAACCAAAATTCCAAATTTTGATATTCAAGATAGGGCATCAGTTTGGACAAAATAGAACAATACATGACATGAAATCTACGCCATTTTAATTGACCAAAGTGTAACTAACTAAAGGATCTAGTGTCCCAACCTTGTCAAAGAGACCAGGTTAGCTCCAACATCTAACTACATTAAAATGAAGCTCCAAATTTTAGTATACAAGATGCAATTGGGTACAATTAAACAATAGACTGAACTGTCGCTATTCTAATTTACCAAAGTGTAACTAGGTAAAGGTTCGTTACCCAGTGTTCTATCCTAGATCAAAGAGAGATGGTTAGCCCTAATTATGGTTAGCTCTCACGTAGTGAGGTTATGTTTGATACAGTCAAAATTGAATTTGCAACTTTGTTGATCATTTGTGGCTTTTATTATTTATTATACTTCTGTTCTTCTGTTGTATACTTCTGTTAAATTATTGTTTTATTTTTGTTTGATGGTCTACAAAGTTTTGGAATTTTATTATAGGAAATAATATGTATTTGGGGACTTTTGAATTTGAGAACTGAAGGAGCTGGAAGTTTAGCAACTGAAAAATTGAAAAATTAAAAAAATTGAGAATTTGAGATTTTGTATTATACAGTCATACTTATATTATATAATTTGTATTGTACACTTATAATTTGCATTATACAATTTGTATTTTGCAACTAGAATTATGTTATACATTTTGTATCTAACAACTAGAATTATATTATAAATTTTGTATTTTATAATTAGATAATTATATTGAACAATTTGTGTTTATATATTAATAATTTATATTATGAGATTAAAAGCAGAATACTGCGAGGGTTAAGTCTATTAAATAAACGAAAATAAAAAGAGAAACAAGAAAAAGAACAGGGACGACTAGTTTGATTCTGGTACGTACAGTTGCTTGACGGTGCGATCGTAAAAATAAGTCCGTATCGTAAAGTCTTTTTATCAAGAATCGCCAGCAAAAAAAGCGTCCTAAATTCCACGATAAAAGAAGCTGAGGACCGACCGTAGGTTGTTGTTTTTTTCTTCTTTTTATTAATTATCATGTTAAGTCGATGTAGAACGAACGGCATTGCGAAAGAAAATCAACCGATAAAGGTGAACAGAATCTGTTGCGGTTATTCAATGTTACAAATTATCGTAATGATTGGGAATTTTTAATTTAGGGATTTTAGAAAATTAGAAATTAGAAATTTAGGAATTAGGAATTTTGGTAATTAGGAATTTTGGAAATTTGGGAATTTGGGGAATTTGGAATTTGGGGGGTTTGGAATTTGGGGAGTTTGGGATTTGGAAGATTTGGAATTAGGGGGATTTGGAATTGGGGGAATTTGGAATTTGGGGAATTTGGAATTTGGGGAATTTGGAATTGGGAGAATTTGGGAG